ACCCCCCGCCTCAAGCAGACGTTGTGTCACGTGTACTAAACGTTAAAATGTTAATACATGTAATATTAATACCGATTGCCATTTAAAAATCGTCAAATATTCAGGAAAAGAAAATTAACAAAGCCTCGGTGTCGTAAACATTTAGTATCAATTAATTCAGTCACGGGGTAAAGGGCATACCAATTAGTATCACTGTAAAGGCCGATTTACGCCATGCTTCTAAACAACGGTGAAACACATTGCAGTTTTGTGTTTTAAAAGGTTGTTGTTTATTTGTGGCATTTATATTACTAAGTAGTTTGTAAGAAATAATCCACATTTATGACTGTGGACATCGCTTATACGATTCCTTATTATGTCGTGGCAGTATCATATCGATCTATCAACGATAGCTCAGTGATCCCATCGGTGCATTATCAACATGCAATCAGTGAGATTACTATACATTAATCACCCTCAACCAATTTCCTGTGAAGTAACCTTGATCGCTTGAATTACAGCATAAAAATAACTCTCCTCAAGCCTATATGAACTTTTAATTGTGTAATTCGTTTTAGTAGAATACATTAGTGGAAGTCTGTGTTCGTTAATTTGTGCACCTGGATCGGATATGGGCTTTTACTGAAATGGAGCACTCTGTTCCGGATCACTAATGTCACATAGGGCATACATGCTGCTGAAATATGAGTCATGAATACAATTATTAATTTCGTGGTTATGAATTATAAATTTAGTTGATATTTTTCGTCATTAATTCGGTGTTTCAGTTTGTTTCATCTTCAGGAGACTGTATTAACCGTTTAATATTTAGCTGTGTTGTGTTTATTCATAGTCTATAACTACTATACTCTTTCTTTGTATAAATATGATCTGATATATAGCCCTATACACACGTGAGACATATGCATACGTTTTTTGATAACCTGCTATTATTCTACACGTTGTTTTCCTATTCATTTTAGTCGGTATACATCCTGATGTCACGTCTGACGCTGTAAATCGTATCTGGCTCATTGGATGTCCCAAATCACAAGCCAAACCAGACACTGCATGGTGAGTGCCCATCTTTTCAGGTGCAGTACTACCTACAGTTTGTATCACTACCCCGGGTCCAGGTTCCATGATTAAAACCCCTTCTATTTTGAAATAAAAAGTTCCACGGCGGTGTGTTATTTAATATTCCGTCAGAGTAAACAAGCCTTAGATTTGTAAAATGAATTATAGCGAATTGAAATGGCGGACCGAGACTCTGGGTAAACTTTTTCAATAATGTACCAGTTCCAGTGCGGTTAGCTTACTTTTGGGGACTTGGTGGTTTACTATTTACTAAAGGATTGAAGAAACTATACACACCACGTTCCCGTAAACAAATTTGTCACTTTGACTCGTACTGTGAGCGACGGACGAGTTTTATGAATGCATCACGACCTAATTGCCTTCACGTGTTTACGAACAGACAAGCATATATCAATTTCTCAATATTATGGTAGAAGATTACCCAAATAATCGGATAAATATCGTGACCATCTGGCATTGTGAAATTAATGACTAATCCGTTGTATCTAAGACATCGGATTAATCACGCAATCCCATGAAGTACACAGACACAGTCGTGACTTGACGCCTTTCAAAAACCTGTACCTGTTCATATCACTTGGGGATGCATGGCTCCATGATGTCTGTGTCGAGACCTGAACGTTTCATTTACTCTTCGTACATCTACGCTTGATGCAAACATGGAAGTAACGTGTTGTATTTAATATTATTTTAACAATCTGATATACATTTCACATTTCGGTTAGGTCATGCAATCCAGACGAGCCGTCCAGCGTTTGTGATGGGCCGGCACTCGTCACTTATAAATGGTCACGAGATAGTTGCCCTAACTATCTCGCGAAAGGCGAGATTCTCACAGTTGGTGGTAATTATATCGAGAATTTGGTCCTCATGGTTCACTACGTCACAGGTATAGTACCCGTCGTCATTTGAATAGTCCGGATAATGTAATGATAACACTAAAGTGACTGTGTATATGAAGCAATAATTATCAAAATATATTTTAATTTCCATTTAGGAGGGGATATCGACGACTCTGGCGTAACGCTGAAGATGATGCCAGATACATTGTGAGTACTTAAACTTTTTTATCGAAATATCTCTTTGTAAATTAGGATCACAGTTTTATGACTCACACTGTCGAATGGTATCGTATAACAATGTATACATATAATCAATAATATTCTTGATAACATAATAATATATTCTTAAGATTTGTATTCTCGAACGTGATCCAGGAGGCGTTTGCTACTTAACATAATTGGTTCTAGTTATCTGGCAAAATCATATTTTTTTATTTTTCCGACATTGCGTGTCTATTACTAGAAAATGATACATACCAGTTAATAGTTTCGTTTATTGAAGTTCAATTATGCACAAAATCAGTAATTTAACTTCTTAATCTTTTTATTTATTTTCATTATTTTGAAAGCTTAGTCTGATCTACATCTCAATATAGAGTTTATTTTTTAAGTTGCTGATTCTAAATAATGTTAAATCTTCTATATAATGACGTAACGGCAGTGAATCCATCTTGATCTATTACTGGTTCGCCAACACATTCAAATTTAATCTAAACAAATTATGGTTATCGTATACGTTACGTATACCATATGGAATAAACCGCTGTCTAAAATATCAATAGTGTTTTAACTCAGGCCACACGGAATGTTCTTAGTGGCCTGAGGTTTTGATGAACGCATTTGAATGCTGTATGTCATTTTGTTACCAGTCCTAGAGATGACGTCATGGTGATGATGAAATATTATGGTGCCACCCTGATCTCAGATTCATGCGAAGATAGCGACGATACGTACGAGTTTGATCTAGAGTCTTCAATGTATGAAGGTTACGATTATCCATCGAAGGAGCTGGAAGAGATTGCAGAAGAAGAGGAAGACATGGCAGAGGAAGAACAATATCCTAATGACGTCATCGACGCAAGTTCTGACGATGGTGATTTAGATGATTTAATAGTTGTTCCCGATTGGCCTAAATATAATCTTAGTTTGGGACAGATTGGTGGGATTGGGACAGACAAACGTGGAAATCTGCTTGTATTTCACCGGGCTGAGAGACAGTGGACAGCGGAGTAAGTATGATTCTGCAGTTAAATTATAACACATGTCACTTGTAAACAGGTTAATTACTACGGGAACGAAATACATTAACTTGAGTGAACAATAATAATATTGTTTCTACATTATTACAGTTCTTTTGACGAGGACAACGTTTTCCAAGAGGGAGACTTGGGACCAATCAATAATGACGTTGTTTTTGAGCTGGAATCAAATTCTGGAAAACTGGTACAATCTTGGGGTGCAGATCAGTAAGTTAACATTTATTATTATTTATTATTATTAATGATTAATTCAATATACGAAATATCATTTTTGTGTTGCACTAATGACCTAACAAGGTTTATCTTGTCGCCAGATTTTACATGCCACATGGTTTGACCGTCGACCACGAGGGTAATATCTGGCTAACAGATGTCGCTATGCATCAGGTATTTAAATTCCCACCAGAGGGCGGGGATGAGCCATTGCTGGCATTGGGTGATAGGATGCAACCTGGAAATGACGACGGGCATTTCTGTAAACCAACTGATGTTGCCGTTGAAAGTAAAACAGGGAATTTCTTTGTAGCCGATGGGTAAGTGTTATGATATATGTACATTCTGTCATACACAGTTCGTGACCATGCAGATTTCTGGCAGAGTACACACGTGCAAAGTAAATCAGTGACATATTATCAAATTTACGCAAACGGATTAAAGCAGACGCACTTTATTTTAGTACGTATTGCCGCTAACAGTCTCTTCTATATATGGTATAACGCGCGAACATACTATCGAAAACGCGACCGCGATCTTATGTTGTTAGAGTGAACGTTGGTGGCGCTCGAAGTTGAGATTCTCCAGCGTAATTTGAATAAGGTGACCGGGACACTAATTCACTGGGTTTGTCGAAATAAGTATGCGCATTATCTGTTGTGTAGTCAAGATAAGAAGAATTAACTAATTACATTATATTATGTCAGACATTTTAATACATCATATCGTATTAGTTCTTACCATACCTATTGCACATTGTGTCGGTTATTTTGCTTATAAAACCTGTACAGCGTCAAAATTTTAATGTTAGTTTACGATACTGAATAAGCTTCACTGTTACCCACATGGCAAATAATGTGGCATAATACACTATCGGCGGTGTCGATGCAATGTTTTCATTATTAGACACGTTATGCTGCAGACATGCGCAAATTAAATACTATCAATATATTACAAAACTGATGATCACATTCGATAAGGTGTTAAGCGTCTATTATAATCAAATGCGCGTACTCCGACATGGTGTGCGACATTTGGATTCACGGTATGAACAAATTTGAGTAACCATACTTTGTTTTCAATATAGCTACTGTAACAGCCGTATAATGAAGTTCAACCCAGAGGGTGAACTGATAATGAAGTGGGGAGAACCATCAGCAGGTAAACAAACAATATTTCGAAAACGTAATATTTATTACAGATAATTTGGAATCTATTTATACATGTAATACTATATCATTTGATTTACAAAGTATACAGTACAATATCTTCAATCACTGCAAATATGGGTGTTTTCAACACACGTGCGTATTTTCGTTTACGAGTTCCCTGGCATTTATACATATATTCGATTTCTCTACAGAGAAGAATCATGCAGCAGTAGGCACCTTTGATATCCCACACAGTCTGGCATTAGTGGAGAAATATCAAATGATATGTGTAGCGGATAGAGAGAATGGCCGAATCCAGTGTTTTGACAGTAACACGGCTGAGTTTCAGTTCCAGATTACTCTGCCTGAGTTTGGTGGCAAAATGTATGCCATTGAGTACAACCCCCAGCAAGGTAAATAATATGAGGTTATTACGAGGATATCGAAAAGTATGCACGAAGACAGTACAGCGGGAGTATCGACCGACGCGCAGCGGAGGTCGATGCGACGGCGTACTGTCTGAGTGCATACTTTGCGGTATCCTCGTAATGACCTTATTATTATACATCTTTTCCTCCCAAAGATACATCATGATACAGATACAGATTTAGCGAACTTCTTTGTGTGGAGTCCGGTCAAACCTTGGGGGCTGCCATGTTTGTATTTAATTACTTATTAGAGGACGCTTACGCGCGTAATTTGGAATCCGCATTCCCTTATATGGTAGAATGAAAATACACCGTAAAATACCGCAAAATTACGGCACGCTGTAACTTGTGGCGTTACGGTGACAGATATATAATAAATATGAATATTTCACAGACACATATATAGTATTGTCATATTTCTATATAGCGACTATAATTCCCTCTCATTAAATCATTGCTTTGATGGGTGTCCATACAGTCAGCAGGTGTAGAAGTGTAATTAAATACACACGATTCATTTACCAATATTTACTATACGGGGCCGCCATTTTGTATCTGACTCAGATTCGAGCGGGATTCCAGACGGCGACTCATCTAAATATCGGGAAATATTATTTGTATTTATTGTACGCCAGCGGAGGTTCAGGGCACTGGTTGAGCGTTCCTCGATTGTTGAGAACTTTAGGGTCAAGGTGAAATAACCGCCATGTGACATACAATCTTAGCAAGAAAAGTTTACCAGAACAAAAATGTGTATAAATGTATCACACTTATGAGAGTGAAAATTATTAACATCTGACTTGATGCCCTCTGTAATTTGATGCCCTCTATAGTTAGAGTAAGAAAAAGTTTTAGATTTTTTTTTATTTCTATGATCTGTTTTGTCCATCATCCACTATTCGCAAGGTTTGTATGAAATGCAATTATATACATGTACTAATACTTGTAGATTACAAATATGAGACAATACGAATTGTTTTGTACTTTTAGACGTGATATATGCAGTGAATGGCGAGAACTTTGAAGACCAAATTGTGCAAGGATTTACAATTGATTATAAACAGAAGGAAGTGATTGGTACATGGAAACCATCCAGTCAGGTAAGTGATTTTATTGGTATGCACGACCGAAGAGGGCGACATTCATGTATCCTTGACAATTGATCTTCCCCATATAATATTCAGAATAAACGTAATATATTACTCGTATTGGTGACTTGGGGTTGAAAGGTTTATGGCTGGAGTAAATTGTGTATATTTGCATACATACATACAAGACAAAAAAGCTGTTCACAAGCTGCTCTCTGATTGGCCAGACTGTCAGGTTTTAGGGTAGGATAGCCAATCAGACACAGGCTTGTTTGTAGCTTCACATAGGCTCAAGTAATGACGTATGCAGCTGGATTAGGATATACTGTAAAATGACTATTTTTCACTGGGTTTAAATTTCACTGATTTACCATTTCAGACATATTCAGTGGGTTTTAAATTCACGGTTTTTATCATTTAGACAATGTGTTCTATGCTAAATTTTACATATTCACTGGGTTTTAATTTAGCGCATTTTCCAGTCAGCGAAATAAGCCAAATTAAAACCCAGTGAATAATTAACCCATTTACAGTAGATTTTCCAACCTCGACTGTAATCGCGTATCAACATTAGTGTTAGTTGTTAGTTGCAACCATTATCATTAATATGTGGCACGTCAACAATTTAAGATTGAATTGAACGATAGAGATAATCAACAGCTCAGCATATACAGCGTGCAACATTTGGTTTCAATTAGTGATTTATTGAAACATTTGGAATCTTATAATTAGTATAGACGGTATAGTATTGTATCAATAAGAAACTGTCGTCAAACGAGTGACAACTAACTTAACTTAACTTATTACATTGTCTCTGAATTTCTTCAATTAAAGCGAGAGGGTCGTCACCTGCGCACGCGCGGGAATTGAGTCCCAAGCGACGATAACAACACACGCTAAAAACGCAAAGGATCATGGGTTTGTTTGTAAACGCTTGTTTGTAGACAACGACACGCTATGGCCATCTGACGCATGCGCAGGTGACGACTCCCCCACTTTAAATATACAAATGGTATCATTGTCCAATTGCCGAAGTACACTGATTTTCGTTGTGGTGTGAAAGTTTTTCCACACGTCTCGTTCCATCACTAACACAACTCCCCCTTCTCCCGCAGAAAGCCACAAATCTTTCTCCTTATTTCTCCTTATATTATTTCATTGGCAATAATATGTTCTCCTGACTTTATTTGTTTTGTTTAGGGATTCGACACCCCGCACGATGTGACCTATTCTCCACAATCGTTGTATTCACCGCAGTCTGTGTACGTCGGTGAAATCGGACCCAACACTGTATGGAAATTCAGAGAAGACGTCATGGAGAGAAAAATCAGAGCTATGTAGTAGATTACAACCAGACCAGAAGATTTGACATTCCCGCCTAAACCACGATTACACTGACCCATAGTTTAGTCAAGATTATATTATTAAGAACGCAGTGTATATGGAGTTGGTTTGGGCGTGGCTCTTGCATCAAATACATATCATGTATGTCTTTAACTGTTAATATGAAATGCAGTTAGTTTTTAAATCAGTGTACATAAGTGCAAATGTGAGATGTACTCATACAGTGGTGTGTTGTCATTTGACTGGTATGCCTCGGCAAGATTTATAACTTATGTTTCGAAATATTCAAAAGGTTTTTTTAAACTCCACAAATGTGCCATAAAAGTAAATACATGGTTTTGTTCAAATTTTTCGCTAACCGTATTCTCTATATAAGTATGCTATAACGTATTTAGCGGTCTCATAATATGCTCAGACACATCAACTTTGGCGTCAGGGCGATGTTCACTAGTAGACAATCGCTGAGAGAATTGCCCTAAAGTGTGTATAATTATGTGCCCCTATAGACATTGGCTGAGAGCTTAGACCAGAGTGGGCATAACTATACGTCACTACGGTAATATTCTCCTTAATTTATTTCTCCTCTGACTTAACTGTATAAGATCGATATTTGACATTTGATATTCACCTCTAACTCATTTTCACGTGGCCCAAGTTATTATATGGCATTTATTTTAAAGTCACATTCCCACTTTGCAAATTTATGAGGTACCATCTACCGACCAATATATACAGCACGAATGTTGAGATCGTGAATGGGCAATGAAAAATTAACCGCAGAATTTGAATTTGTAAACAATCGGCACTCAATGAGTTAGGGAGATTTATCTTTGAACGATAGTTGCATTTTTCAAGTTGTTATTTTTAGTCTAAGAGTACCCCGGCACCCTCAAAATAAAATGCGTGGTGAAAAAACGGGAGGGAAACTGCTTTTAGTATTTGACATTTTTTCTTAGCAAGAAACAACACCAATTTTACTCGTTTATTCTTTAGCTAGTTCTGGCGTTTCACAAATTTGCAAACGTGGAATGCAACTTGTACATTTATCGTTTATTACAAACATCTTTATTAGTTGAATTGTAGTTTAGTCGGTGACCTTTAACCCGTGTTATTGTGACCATAATTATGTTATTATAACCATGCTATTCACTAACACTATAAATGTATAATTTTTAAGTAACTTGTTTTGTGATAATGAGGACACACTGGGAAATATTAAAAAGTTAAATACACCTTTGCATCGTTGCACTGGCAAATGAGTATATGTTAGAGTCAAATTTAATTTTCTGATTGATATATTTATAAATATCATACATACTATATGTACATTAGATACGGCTTGAGTTTCAGATATAAAACGTACGTGTTTAGTGGCATATTTCAATCGTTTTGTTGTATTTGCGATCATTTACATATAAATATGTCTGTTTTATTTTGTTGATGTTTGGTTCCAAATAAACCCTATTTTTGTGCTCAATCTTGGTTTTTGTGTGTGTTTGATAATTCGAAATTCATGAAAGCCCGTATATGTTGTTACGTATTCGTACGACATACTATAAGCTTAGGGTGAGATGCAGTGCCGTACCCAAGTCAGCCGAACACTGAGGTCAATAACGACCAATTGCTGGACGCAGTAAAGTATGATCATTATGTGCGTCAAGTCAAGACAGTCTTGGGATAAACCAACGAGACACGCATACAACACGCCTATCGTGGTAGCATTGTGAATGAATATATGAAGTAATTTGGGACTGTAATCATCATAACCTTCTCCGGTTTAGTGGTAACAATCGTTTGATTAGTGAAATGTCACGTGACCAAATGTACGTCGTCCAACAACACAGTATAATAATATACAAGTCCCTAGATCCATGCTAAATTAGTCATATTGATATTCTAAGTTCAGATCGTTTCCTTGAAACTCAATATACATGAACAGAACTTAGAATTCTACAATTTCAAACTTAAGACATCGTCACGGTGATGGTCCTCGATGCGGCCGGGCGAATTAGAAATTTGCGTATTAAACAAACAATGCATTATTACGCGTTGTATAGGTCGAACGTGGTCGACCACCGCCCGTCAAAAGTGCAGCAATCGCCTAGGGAACACTCAACGCAACGTGGCGTCAAGTAAACATAGACGTTTGATAATATAAAATGGAAAATAATCAATAATGTCTTGACAGTTTCGTCTGTATATTCAATTTTAGCCTAGTTCTCGTTTTGAACAGTGTCCGAATGAAAATGAATTTGAGAATGCAATGTGATGATGCATCATTTAGTAGAAATCAAGAACACATGTGACGAATGAATAACTTAAATAAGAGCGGTGTCATTCCATATTAGAAAAACGAGAGAATATCACTATGACGACCTGAGGGCTTACACATGTACACTTGATGTTAAAACTTTGAAGACATTTCTCCTGTAAACAACTATACGTTATGGCTATTTGCCGCATGCGCAGATGACGACGAATCTCGTAATCATCCTATTGTCTTGGATCATTTTTCACTTCATAAGTCAACATTTGAATGTGTAAATGGCCAAATCCGGGTAGACTTCTTGTACACTCAAATAATGATTTATTTTCTTGAGAAAAAAAAAACAACATAAAAAACAAGAGACTGTGAGAAAGTCTGACACAGATTGTTGCATTAAATAAATAAATATAAATATAATATACAAGAGAACTGGTGATGGTTGTAGAACCATAACTGCTTCAGCTCTAAGATTGTTATGTAATACATGGGAATGTGACAGAGAATGTATTGTAATGTTACCTCTGTGTAATTTACAATATATCTGCATTAACCTTCACTGTGAAGGACAATATGGGAGTTGACTTAAATGACTGGTAGAAGCAAGGCTGGTCAAATATTGCGAAATAGTAGTTAGAATTTCCAGTTACGCAATCGACAATTGTGGAATATCAAAATATGGATGATAAACAGCAAGTGATATTTCCAGAGATGTAGTTGGAATTGAAGCAAAGGAGTGGCCTATTAATCCATGAAACATATTCACACATATCCGTACATATCATCCTGTCTTATTGTGTGTGGGCAAAGCTGTCATGCACACAATCGGAAAAATATGTTATTACTGTAAATAATTACGAACAATAAAAACTGAAATTTAGAAAAACTATGAACTATGAATTAATAAGGAAAACATGTGATTTGCTATACAGTTTCCAGAAAATTATTACAAATCCCAGAAATGCATACAAGTCGTCAAAACGTAGTTTGGTGACAGTTGGGAATGACACCAAGATTTAACAATTCCATGAGAACATCGCAATGTTCTTTTAACACATGAAACGGATGTGCATTGGTCGAATTTTGTATAGTTCCAATAGGCATACAAGCACCTGTATATATTTTGACAATAAACCCCTCATTCACATTGTGCAAATACAAACAAGACATTAAACCTTCTTGATAGTAACAAGTAAGTGTTGTATAAACCCGAATGAAAAGTCCGGAGTCATGGCGAATACTTCTAGCGAGTCACCCCTCTAAAAACGTCATTACTGTGACAATGACATTGAACTTTGCCCTTTCATACCACTTCAGTTTCCTTTCATTATTTCATCCAGATTCCACGATATTTAATATTTAAAACCAACCTTCATTTCACAGTCACTCTAGTTTTTACTTTTCTAAAATTATTTTACTGATCAAAAGACTTTCCACTCCCATCATGCAATCCCCATAGTACTTCCGGAAACACAGAGGCGATCGCCAGCATATCTACAAATAACCTCGCTCTCAGGAGCCGAGGAA